TCTCAAACCATTTCAAGAAAACTTGGCAAGTTTTTGACATTTAACACTAATACACCCCGTGCTTTCCTCCCTGCAGGCATAAAAAATGCCACCTGATGAAGAAACCTTTAATTTTCAAAGCCTGCCGACTGAATGTTGTGTCTTGGTTAGTAGGCTCCTCAGCTCCTCTTCGCATTCAGCCATCAAAGTGGTATCATCTGCATATCTAAGTTTGTCAATGTTTCTTCCAACAATTTTAACTCTAGCCTTGGATTCGTCAAGCCCCGCACATTGCATGATGAAAGTGGGGTGGATTTTCTTATTTTCACAGTAAACAAGGGTTCAGGAAACAAAACTACACACGCTTGGGATATCCATAAAATTACGACAAATGAAAGTTAATAATATTGTAGTTTCAGTGTTGGACTATCATCCTGGAGACCAGGGTTCAAATATCTGAGGCCATGGAAACGCACAGGGTGATCTTGGGGAAGCCACACTCTCTCAGCTTCAGAGGAAGGCAACAGCAATCTGCCTTTCAATAAATCTTGCCAAGAAAAAACCTGTGATTAGGTTTGGAAACACATAACATTGACAAACATAGATTGTGTCTCCTACTCTGTGGAACTCTCTGCCCCGGAGGGAGTGTGGTGGAGGCTCCTTCTTTGGAAGCTTTTAAACAGAGGCTGGATGGCCATCTGTCAGGGGTGATTTGAATGCAATATTCCTGCTTCTTGGCAGGGGGTTGGACTTGATGGCCCATGAGGTCTCTTCCAACTCTTTGATTCTATGATTCTATGATTCTGAAACATAAAAATCTTAAAGCCATTTCTATTCATCAGAGTGCAACAAAGTGGGTAGTGAAACCGTGATATGGTGCAATTCATGGTGTAATCAGAGTTTTCTCACATGCAATTGCATCCAGTTCTACTCACAAAGTAATTTTGTAGTATCTGATTTGCCTTTGCTTCATCTCAGTGCTGCAATTTGCAAAAAAAAAAAATCCTATTTGGAATTATTGCTCCATATTACCCTCATAGTGATTATTACCTAAATATTATTTTTGTTCCTGAAGAACTGAATTGATTACTGGGAACCTTTGATCTACTACATCATCTTCTTAATGTCGAATCCCCACAGGCATTAATTAGCTTGCAAGAGCAGCCCAAACTCAATATCAGTATGTATAATTCAGTTAACCAGTTTTAGCCCTCAAAAAGGACTTCTTGTATATGGATGTCTGTGCAGCCAAATCCAACCTATATTTACTTGAAAGTAGCAAAATATAATTTAATTCATTCAGTCAGTGGCCTTTATTTTGGTCAATAAACCTTCAGTTGAAGTCAAATGGGAATAAATAAAAGTAATTTATCATAATTACAAACTGGCAAGGCTTTTTTCACTAGTAAATGGTTGCAGGAGAAGACTCTGGCCTCGTCTACAGTCCCTTTGCGGAGAGAGGGTGGGTTAAAATAAAACTATTATTATTATTATTATTATTATTATTATTATTCTACACAGTTGGATAAAATCCTGATTATCTGCTTTGAACGGGATTATATGATAGTGTAGAGTCAGATAATCCAGTATAAAGCAGATAATATGGACTATCTGCTATGATAATTTGGATCATATGGCAGTGTAGAAGGGGCCTCTGTTGAAGTTTACTCTTGTAAGACGTACTTGTTGCAATGGGCCTTACTTGATGATAGCATGCAAATAAATCTGCTAGTGAGATTTACTTCCCAACGTATACATAAGGCTGCATACTTGCTTATGATTGCAATCTTTGTATACATTGAATCACCAGAGAAAGCAAAGGTTTTGCTGTATCTCTCAACCATCTGGACAATTCAGATTTTGGAATATTTCACATTTCTAAGAAAGAGATGGCCAACATGTGTTGCTGATTTCTACTGGTTAGACTTTGCCCTTCTTCATAATTTGCTCAGAATGGCTTATAGTCAAGTTTAACGGCCCTTATCCAGAATTCCAAAATCTGAAATTTAGTGACAGCCTTGCTCAGTGTTCAAACTTGGTTTCTTATACACAAATGATGGAAAATAATTTATAAAATCACCTTCACTCTATGTTTATAAGAGGTTTATGAATTATCAATGGATTAAATTTGCATCCCATGTCATGATATCGCATGAGGTAGGTGTATGAAAATACAGGCTTGCCAACATTTGAGAAAATCCCAAACTCAAAACACTTCTGGTCCCATATGTGTCAGATATGAGAGACAGAGAGTGCACTGGATCTACACCAGGCATGGACAAACTTGGGCCCTTCCGGTGTTTTGGACATCAACTCCCACCATTCCTAACAGCCTCAGGCCCCTTCCTTTCCGCTTAAGTGGCTGAGGGAGGAAAGGAAAAGGCCTGGAGCTGTTAGGCATGGTTGGAATAGAAGTCCAAAAACACCTGGAGGGCCCAAGTTTGCCTATGCCTGGTCTACACTCTCAAAAGAAGGTAATTTGACACCACTTGAACTTCCAGGGCTAAACGCTATGGAATCATTGAATCACAGAGTTGGAAGAGACCGCAAAGGCCACCCAGTCCAACCCCTTGCCCTGCATCATGGTGAGACACCAACCTTTTTTGGTAGAGAAGGCTACAAGACATTGTCATTTTCCAATTCCCATGAACTGTGGCAGATAAAGAAGTGTCAAATCGCATTCATTATCTAGTGTAGATGTGGATAGATCCTCGACCTGTAGTTCCAAGGAAGGGACTCCCCAGAGAAGGGTGGCACAGTCCAATCCTACACATGTTTACTGGGAGCTTCTCCCCATCTCCAATGGAGCTGACCTGAAGCTCTTGTGAATATGGCTCCATCCTCAAGCCTATGACTGTCTATTGTAGTGTTTCTCAACCTGGGGGTTGGGACCCCTGGGGGGGCACGAGGGGGTTTCAGAGGGGTCGCCAAAGACCATCAGAAAAAAACATATTTCTGATGATCTTAGGAAGCCCTTTGGCAGAGAAGGTTGAAGATCTCTCTGCCTGTTCTTCTCTTCCTTTTTGGAAACAGAGGGCGAATCCTCCCACCAAAAGCACAGCCTCTCAGTCAACAGGAGGGCTGTTTCTGATATTCCAAACGGGGAGGAGAGAGCAAGTGTGCTCAGAGCATGGCAGCATGGAGCGCTTATGCAGGTGAGGGAGAACGAGCGAGGCTGGAGGGAGGCTTGTGCCAGTCAGTCCCTTCAAGGCATGGGGGTTCTGTTTGGCCCAATTCTATTGTTGGTGGGGTTCAGAATGCTCTTTGATTAGGTGAACTATAAATCCCAGCAACTACAATCCCCAAATGTCAAGCTCTGTTTTCCCCAAACTCCTCCAGTGTTCACATTTGGGCATATTGAGTACTCGTGCCAAGTTTGGTCCAGATCTGGGATCCCCCGGTAGTGCAGTAGGTTAAAGCACTGAGCTGCTGAACTTGCTGACCGAGAGGTTGCAGGTTCAAATCCAGGGAGTGGCATGAGCTCCTGCTGTCAGCCTCAGCTTCTGCCAACTTAGCAGTTCGAAAACATGTTAATGTGAGTAGATAAATAGGCACCACTTCTGCAGGAAGTTAGCAGTGCTCCATGCAGTTATGTAGGCCACATGACCTAGGAGGTGTCTATGGACAATGCCTGCTCTTCGACTTAGAAATGGAGATGAGCACCAACCCCTAGAGTCAGGCACGACTAGACTTAATGTCAGGGGAAAACCTTTACCTTTATCTTTTTTTTAAATCTTGGTCCAGATCTATCATTGTTTGTCCCGTTCTCCAAGGGATATAAAGATGATTGCCAGGGGTTCTGAAATAACTTCCGCTAGTTCTTTCAATACTCTTGGTTGTAGTTGATCCAGCTCTGGGGACTTGAATTCATTTAGAGTGGCCAGGTATTCCTGAACAACTTGTTTCCCAATTTGGGATGGATTTCCCCATATCCTTCATCCACTCCATGTTTCTGAGGTTGAGGACAACTTTCCTTTTGTGAGAAGACTGAGGCAAAGAAGGCATTATGTAGTTCTGCATTTTCCCTATCCCCTGTCAACATTACTCCATCTTCTCCTCTCAGAGGCCCTATCACAGCATTTCTCAACTTGGGGGTCAGGGAGTCACAGTATTTTCTATTGGTCATGGGGGTTCTGTGTGGAAATTTTGGCCCTATTCTATCGTTTGTAGGGTTCAGAATGCTTTTTGGTTGTAGCAACTACAACTCCCAAATGTCAAGGTCTGTTTTCCCCAAATGCCACCAGTATTCACATTTGGGAATATTTAGTATTCATGCCAAGTTTGGCCCAAATCCATCATTGTTTGAGTCCACAGTGCTCTCTGGATGTAGGTGAACTACAACTCTAAAACTCAAGGTCAATACCCACCAAACCCTTCCACTATTTTCTGTTGGTCATGGGAGTTCTGTGTGCGAAGTTTGGTTCAATTCTATCTTTGGTGGAGTTCTGAATGCTCTTCGATAGTAAGTTCCCAGCAACTACAACTCCCAAATGACAGAATCAACCCCCCCTCAACCCCACCAGTATTCAAATTTGGGCGTATTGGGTATTTGTGCCAGATTTGGTCCAGTGAATGAAAATACATCATGCACATTAGGATACTTACACTAGGATTCATAACCCTAGCAAAATGACAGTTAGGAAGGAGCAATGAAAATCATGTTCTGGTTGGGGGCCACCACAACAGGAGGAACTGTATTAAGGGGTCGTGGGATTTGGAAGGTTGAGAAACACTGAACAATGGCCTGTGGGCCCTTCCACACAGCCCTGTATGCCAGAATATCAAGGCAGAAAACCCCACATTGTGGATTCAGAAAACACAGTGTGGACTCAGTTCAAAGCAGATATTGTGGGATTTTCTGCCTTGATATTCTGGGATATAGAGCTGTGTGGAAGGGCCCCAGAAAGCACTGCCCTTCCCCTCCAGGACTTACTTCCGAGCAACCTTGACCAGGGGCTACAGGGGAGGCAAGCAGGGGAAGCGAGGCGCCAGCACCCCCCTCCAGGAGAGCCTTGGGTTACCTAGGAGCAGGAAGGAGAAGACCCACTGAAAGACCGCCGCGGTCTGCGCCCTCCGGGCCAAAGGGATGTTGAGCGGGGCAAACTCGACCTTCATGGCACCTGGGAGCCGAAGAGGCCGGGCAGGAGCGAAGCCAGGAGGAGGCGAAAGGCTCTGGGCACAGCAAACCCGGGAGGAGGCGAGGCGGGGTCCCAGCCCTCGGGGGGCGGGCAGCACAAACCAACTGAGCGCCTTCTGAGTTTGCAGACCTCCGAGAAAGCCAGCCAAGGCGGGTCGCTCAGTCCTGGAAGCGTTGGGATCCCCCCTCCCCAATTTGGGAAGGCAACTTTCCTTCCCCTTCGCCCGCCCTCGCTTTTCTTGGTGTGACCAGAAGGATCCGCCTTGCAGGCGCACTCCGTGCCTCTTGGCTTCGCCCGGACTAGGAGGGCAAGGGCCACGGGGGGAAACGGACACCTTCAAGGGGGTCTCGCCCTTTCTTCCCAAAGCCTCTCTTTTGAAGGTTTGGAAAGAAGGAGCGAGGCACTCTTAAAAGCCCTTTGTTGAAGGGAAAAGGGAGGGGTTTGCGGCGGGGGCTTTGGAAAGTGGGCGGCAGGAGCAGAAAGACCCAGGGCCCTTCCACACAGCCCTTTATATCCCAAAATATCAAGGCTGAAAATCCCACAGTATCTGCTTCGAACTGGGTTATCAGAGTCCACACACAGATAATTTGGGATTTTCTGCCTTGATATTCTGGGATGTGGGGCTGTGTGGAAGGGCTTCCAGTTATGTGATAGCTGAATATTATGAAAAGGGTCCACTTTACAATCATCTTTTCATTCCCAACGAAATGTTTGGGTATCAGCCAGCACACCAATGATTCAAATCAAGAAATAGTTTTCTAAGATCTACAGAGACACTCACTGGAACACCTCAGCAAGCGAGAGTCCAAAAGTGGCAGGCTCAAACCCAGAACCTCAATCAATGGCTGATTCCAAATGAGAGCGCTCTAACTGGAGTCAGTTGTGACCAGCAGTGCTGCGAAATTTGAAGAGGCATGAATGGAGGGTGAAAGGGAGAAACATGCTGAGAGGAAGGCACATCAAGCCATCCTTGACTGGGACCGCTTTCCATCTGGACTCCGATTTCCTCATTGCAGGAGAACATGCGAATCAAAAATAGGGCTCCACAGCTTCCTACAGATCCACTGCCTAGACACCACATCTGGAAGACAATAATCCTTGAGCTACAACGGATCGCCTAAGTAAGCATTCCCAATGAATTGGTCAAGCCCCTTGAGTTAAGTAAGATCCTGTTGTGAGTTTGGGGAAAACAGACCTTGCCATTTGGGAGTTATAGCTGCTTTAGCAAATGCAACTAACATGGGTTAGAAGGCACAATCATCAAGTTTGCAGATGACACCAAATTGGGAGGGATAGCCAATACTCCAGAGGACAGAAGCAGAATTCAAAATGACCTTAATAGATTTGAGAGATGGGCCAAAAGTAACAAAATGAAGTTCAACAGGGACAAATGCAAGACACTCCACTTAGGCAGAAAAAATGAAATGCAAAGATACAGAATGGGGGATGCGTGGCTCAATAGCAGTATGTGTGAAAAAGATCTTGGAGTCCTCGTGGACAGGAAGATGAACATGAGCCAACAATGTCATGCAGCGGCTAAAAAAAAGCCAGTGGGATTTTGGACTGCATAAATGGGAGTATAGTGTCTAGATCCAGGGAAGTCATGCTACCCCCTCTATTCTGTCTTGGTCAGAGCACACCTGGAATACTGTGTCCAATTCTGGGCACCACGATTTAAGGGAGATGTTGACAAGCTGGAATGTGCCCAGAGGAGGGTGACTAAAATAATTAAAGGTCTGGAGAACAAGCTCTATGAGGATCAGTTTAAAGAGCTGGGCATGTTTAGCATTCAGAAGAGAAGGCTGAGAGGAGACATGATGAGGGCCGTGTATAAAGATGTGAGGGGAAGTCATAGGGAGGAGGGAGCAGGCTTATTTTCTGCTGCCCTGGGACTAGGACACAATGGAATAATGACTTCAAACTACAGGAAAGAAGATTCCATCTGAAGATTAGGAGGAACTTCTTCACTGCGAGAGCGGTTCAGCAGTGGAACTCTCTGCCTCAGAGTGTGGTAGAGGCTCCTTTGGAGGCTTTTAAGCAGAGGCTAGCTGGCCATCTGTCGGCGGTGCTTTGAATGTGGTTTTCCTGCTTCTTGGCAGGGGGTTGGACAGGATGGCTCATGAGGGCTCTTGACTCTATGACATATAACTATAAATTAAAACCATTAAAATCATATTAAACATGAAAGATAAACATTTGGAGAAATAAAAAAATTAAAACTAAAAATTAATTAAAGAATTAAAACATCTTATTATTAACATTAATATCACATAATCCAGAATCGTGACCTGAAGCATTCCAATTGTCTACGCACATATATCCAGGCAGATAATCCACAATATCTGCTTTGAACTGGGTTCTCTGAGTCCAGACTGCCATATAATCCAGTTCAATGTGAATTTTATATAGCTGTGTGGAAGGGGCCTAAGAAGTGTTTTGGGGAAATTATTTCCCTTCTTCTAATCAAAGTTTGACCAGTCTGTGGGCTGCTTTTTTTCTGGCTTATATGGCTTTGTGGAAAGGACTTGGGATTCACACTAGGCAACATGTGGGCTGAGGTATTCTCGGAGTTACAGTAACATTTTAAGGTCTGGAAGGGAGAAAAAAAAGTTACTTTGTGTATAAACATGCATGGAATTGTGATATAATAGACAGAGCTTATCTACTGCTGTCAAACTATCAGAATCTCTTGTATTGCTGTCAAACCATCAGTATCTCCAAGGACTCTACTACACTGCCATATAAAATCCAGATTACCTCCTTTGAATTGGGTTATATAGCAGTGTAGACTCATATAATCCAGTTTAAAGCATATGTAGATTATCTGCTTTGATATATGGCAGTGAAGAAAGGGCCTAAAAAATAAAAGCATGCAAAATATTAAATTCACAGATTAATTTTAAAAAATCAGATTTAAAAAACGTCATTGTAATAAATCCCTACATTATGAAAAAGGCAACAGTGCCCCCTACAGGAGAATTTCTCAAACTGGGAAGCTTCAAAAGTTTTTTCACTTCAATTCATTGCCACTGTTTTGCTATCAATCACTGCCTTATAGAATTGAGCCCCCACCCCACCCACACAAGTGTAACACTCCAATTTACTGTATTTTCTGGCATATAAGACTATTTTTAAACTCAGGAAAATCTTCCTAAAAGTTGGGGAGTCGTCTTATTGCTGGGTGTCGTCGTATAGAGTGCGTGCTGAAACTTCTGAGCCAGACTGGAGAATCTGTAGTCGCCACATATGGTGGGGGAGCTCAAAAACGGCCGCGGCTGCATCCCTGCCATATGTGACAACTGTATGAAAACAGCAAGGGCGGCGCTGTACAAGTACAGTAGAAGAAAATCCACTCATCGGGATTCGTGGAAAGAAGTGACTTAACGCAGTTCCAATGATGAGGTGAGGGGGCATCTCACCGGGAAGGTGTAAGTGTAGGTGTCCGGGACACCCCGGGTATGGAAAAAAGAAACAGAGCTGCGCTGTGCCCAGAAAAACACACGTCTTTTACCTGTCTGGTCCACCCTTGTATCCTATTACCCTAACTCCTTCTCTGCCTCTCAGATCTCGCTCCTGCAGTGAAGTGGCACAGGCGTGCATGTGTGAGATCTGAGAGGCAGAGAAGGAGGTACGGTAATAGGAAAATAAAATCTGATTTTTAAAATTTTTACAGTGTTCCCTTGCTGTTTCGCAGTTTGCTTTCTGCGGACTCGCTGTTTTGCGGTTAGGGTTTAGAATATTCTAAAGCCTAACCGCAAAACAGTGAGTCTGTGAGCTCCAGGGCTGCTGGGGTGAGGTGAGGAAGCTGGCCTCGGTTGGATCGGCCAGGGCCAGCTTCCCCACCTCGCTCCAGCAGCCATGGAGCCCTGTGGAAGTCCAGCGCAGAGCTGCAAAGGCTGCTGGGGCATTCGGCCCTAGCCGACGCAACCAGCGGATTGGCCAGGGCCAGCTTCCGTATTTCGCCCCAGCAGCCTTTGCAGTGCTACCCTGGACCTCCATGGCTGTCAGGGCGAGATGGGGAAGCCGGCGTTGGCCAATCTGCTGGTTGGATTGGCCATGGCCGGCTTCCCCACCAGCCATGGAGCCCTGCGGAGGCCCTGAGCAGCCTGCAAAGGATGCTGGGGTGAGGTGGGGAAGCTGGCCCTGGCCGATCCAGGAGCGGGGCCTGCTGCCAGTTGGCCAGCTGGCCAAGCGGCGAGAGAGCTCCTGCCACTCAGGAGGCTTCTGGGAAGAAGCCTCCTGCAAGCAGCATGGCCAGCAGGGCACCCACCGCCGGAATGGCCCTTGCCCGGTATATTCTAGCCGTCCCCTCCCATGCATTGCTGTGGCCCAGTCTGTGTAAATGTGTCTTGTGTGTGTATATGTATGTGTTTGCATTTATATATGTGGTTTTGTGCATACGGTGTAATGCATTTTTTATGTTTTGGCTGTTTAAGTTTTTTCTACTGTGTTTTTCAGTGTTTGCTCACTTGTCGACCTGATAGGTGTATTGTGTCCAAATTTGGTGTCAATTCATCCAGTGGTTTTTGAGTTATGTTAATCCCACAAGCAAACATTACATTTTTATTAAGAGAGAGAGAGAGAGAGCGTCCCTACATCACGGTTTTTCACTTATCGTGGGTGGTCCTGGAATTTAAGGTCCGCAATAAGTGAGGGAACACTGTATTTTGTGTGCGTTGGAAGAGGGGTAGTCTTATATGGTGATTATATCTCAAACTACATTTTAACAGGAAATGTTGGGGGTCGTCTTATATGCCCGGTTGTCTTAAACGTTGGAAAATATGGTACATCCAGAAGCTTTGTTTTGCTTTGTTTGTTGCTTTACAATACTAAGATATGTGGGACCACCTAATTTAGCTGACGTAAAGAGTGAGGGATCAAGGCTGAGGGTACATCTGACTTACTTACTTACTTACTTAGGCGATCCTTCGTTGGACGAGTAAGATGGTCTTCCTTGATGACTATTTTTGTGGGTTTGTGGGTGGCCTTGGAGCCCTATTCTTGACCCGCATCTTCTCCCACAGTGAAGGCATTGGTTTCCAGGTGGAAGGCGGTCCCGGTCGGGGTTGGCTTGACGAGCCTTCCTCCTGGCACGTTTCTCTCTTTCACCCTCCACTCGTGCCTCCTCGAATTCTGCAGCACTGCTGGTCACAGCTGACCTCCAGCTGGAGCGGTCAAGGGCCAGGGCTTCCCAGTTCTCAGTGTCTATGCCAGAGTTTTTAAGGTTGGCTTTGAGGCCATCTTTAAATCTCTTTTCCTGTCCATCAACATTCCGCTTTCCGTTCTTAAGTTCAGAGTAGAGCAGCTGCTTTGGGAGACGGTGGTCGGGCATCCGGACAACATGGCCGGTCCAGCGGAGTTGGTGGCGGAGGACCATCGCTTCAATGCTGGTGGTCTTTGCTTCTTCCAGCACGCTGACGTTTGTCCGCTTGTCTTCCCAAGAGATTTGCAGGATTTTCCGGAGGCAGCGCTGATGGAATCATTCCAGGAGTTGCATGTGACGTCTGTAGACAGTCCACGTTTCACAGGCATAGAGCAGGGTTGGGAGAACAATAGCTTTATAGAGAAGCACCTTGGTATCCCTACGGATGTCCCGGTCCTCAAACACTCTCTGCTTCATTCGGGAAAATGCTGCACTCGCATTCGGTGTCGATGTTGACTTTGGTGGAGAGATGGCTGCCAGGGTAGGGGAAATGGTCAACATTTTCTAATGTTACACCATTAAGTTGTATCTCTGGCATTGGAGAGGGGATGGCTGGCGACTGCTGGAACAGCACTTTGGTTTTCTCGATGTTCAGTGACAGGCCAAGCTTCGTGTATGCTTCTGCGAAGGTGTATAGAGTGGCTTGTAGATCTTCTTCTGAATGCGCACAGACGACATTGTCATCAGCATACTGGAGTTCTATAACAGATGTTGTTGTAACCTTGGTTTTGGCTTTCAGTCTGCTGAGTTTGGCTTTCATCTGTCCGATAGATGATTTCCACTCCCATTAACAAGGTGAAGTATCATAGCGATGAAGATGGAGAATAGAGTTGGGGCAATAACACATCCACGGAGAGGGAAACAGGGAAATATCTGAATAACCCTAACCCTATCCCAGGCATGACCAAACTTTGTCCCTCCAGGTGTTTTGGACTTCAATTCCCACAATTCCTAACAGCCAGTCTAAGATGCCTGATCTTGAGCATTACCTTATTGGCATGTGAAATAAGTGCCCGATCTACACTGTTGAAATTAATTAATGCAGCTTCACCCCATTGTCACAGTTCAATGGTATAGAATCTTTGGGAGTTGTAGTTTGGTGAAGCAACACTGCAACACGCAGGATTCCCTAGCATTGAGCCATGGCTATTAAAGAGGCGCCCAAGTACATTAATTCTATTTACCAAATTCTATTTACAATTCCATTTACCAAAGTAGTGCTTTTTCCAGGACCGAGGGGGAATCGAACTCAAACGCCCAAATGTCCAACTCTCAAACCACTACACCACGGTAGCTATACCCCAGCTTCTTTAGACCGGAAGTCAGGTGCAGTCAATCCCTTCAATTTGTCTACTCCTACGTCAGTCTTCAGAGGCTCCTGCTGATGAAACACTCCAAATTTTAGCTGTCTATAATATGCCTGATAGAAACACTGTAAATTTCGTACAAGTTCTTAGTTGCTCGGCGAAATACACCAAGGGTAGTTAACGCGTAGGCGATAATATCGAGAGGTTTATTCTTCCAGACCACCGAGGAGGGAAATGGAGGGGCGCCATTGGAGCAGGCACGAACAAAGACAGAAGTATTGGTCGCCGTGGATGGAGAGGTCCAGCCCGGCGAAGGGTCCTTCCCCGCTAGAGTGCGAGTGGCGCATGCGCTCTGAGGAGGTTCTCTTCCAGTCAGCCATGCCGACTGTCAGCGTGAAGCGAGATCTGCTCTTCCAAGCGCTGGGAAGGAGTTACAGTAAGAAGGAAGAGGAAGGAGAGGAGGACTGTTGGGTGTCTTTGGAGCACTCCTTCCTTAGGCCTGAGGGGTTGCCAGGGGAATGTCATTTGCTGCTTCAATGTCAGGACTTTGAATGGGTGCTTCTACACAGTAGCATTAACGCAGTTTGGTACCGCTTTAACTGCCATAGCTCAATGTTATGGAATCCTGGGAGCTGTAGTTTAGTGCAAAACCAGCCTTCTTTGGCAGATAAGGCTAAAAGGCCTTGTAAAACTACAGCTCCCCTTTTTTTGTCGTGTCAGGAGCAACTTGAGAAACTGCAAGTCGTTTCTGGTGTGAGAGAATTGGCCGTCTGCAAGGACGTTGCCTAGGGGACGCCAGGATGTTTTGATCTTTTACCATCCTTGTGGGAGGCTTCTCTCATGTCCCCGCATGAGAAGCTGGAGCTGACAGAGGGAGCTCATCTGTGCTCTCCCCCATGGGTCTTCAGTCCTGCCGGCACAGGAGTTTAACCCTCTGTGCCACAGCTCCCATGATTCCATGGCAATTAAAGTAGTGCCAAGCTGCACTCATTCTATAGTATTGATGCACTTCATGGCAGTGTTTCCTAAATCTTGCTATTCTGGACTTCAACTCCCTCTATGTATCTCCCTCTACGCTCCACCTCGTAGTTTAAGATCCACCAGGGAGGCCCTGCACTCAGTCCCACCAGCCTCGCAAACTTGACCGGTGGGGATGAGGGACAGGGCCTTCTCGGTGGTGACCCCTCGCTTGTGAAATTCGCTCCCCAGCAAGATTAGATCAGCGTCCTCCCTCCTTTCCTTTAGGAAAAAACTGAAATTGTGGTTTGGAACCAGGCCTTTGGCTAGCAGGCACAATGGTACGTTGGACACTGAATTGGACCATATGACAATTGTTATGATAATGGAAATGGCTAGTATGACTGATTATTGTTATTGTTTTAATCTATTGGGTATTTATGGTTTTTATATTATTGTATATCGTGTTATTGTGGCATCTAATTGCAGCCTGTGTTAGCCGCTGTGAGTCCCCCCTCGGGGGTTGAGAAGGGTAAGGTAGAAATGCTGTAAACAAATAAATAAACTAGGTTCTTGTAGGTTTTTTTGGGCTATAGGGCCATGTTCTAGAGGCATTTCTCCTGACGTTTCGCTTGCATCTAAGGCAAGCATCCCCAGAGGTAGTGAGGTCTGTTGGAAGTAGGAAAATGGGTTTATATATCTGTGGAATGACTGGGGTGGGGCAAAGAGCTCTTCTCTGCTGGAGCTAGGTGTGAATGTTTCAGCTGACCACCCATTTTCCTATTTCCAACAGACCTCACTACCTCTGAGGATGCTTGCCATAGATGCAGGCGAAACGTCAGGAGAAATGCCTCTAGAACATGGCCCTATAACCCGAAAAAAACTACAAGAACCTAGTGATTCCAGCCATGAAAGCCTTCGACAAAATAAATAAACTCACTACCTCTGAGGATGCTTGCCATAGATGCAGGTGAAACGTCAGGAGAAAATGCCCCTAGAACATGGCCATATAGCCTGGAAAAACCTACAACAACCCAATAAATAAACTCCCAGAATTCCTAACAGTTGGCCAAGCTGACTGAAGCTTCTGGGAGCTGAAGTCCAGAATATCAGGAAGGCCAATGAGATGGAAAAATCACAATTTGATGTGTCCTAGATGTTGTCTAAAAGTGTTTCAGAAGCCTTAAATGACTTTAGTTCAGGCATGGGCAAACTTCAGCCATTGGGGTGTTTTGGACTTCAACTCCCACAATTCCTAACAGCCGGTAGGCTGATTTAGGAAACAGCCGGTAGGCTGTTAGGAATTGTGGGAGTTGAAGTCCAAAACACCCCAAGGTCTGAAGTTCGCCCATGCCTACTTTAGTTCTTCAAGCCCTTTGCAAAAGCCCTTTTCTGTTTCTCATTTTTTCCATGTAGGTGGAATGTTGCCCTGTTGTTGAAAAGAGACTTTAGGGAGGATGGCAGGAGTATGTTTTGATCCTGCAGATGCATGTACAAATTGGAAAGGGAAAGTAACACTGGGCACAGACAATGATGTTTGTGGCAGTGAAAGGGCTGATAAGGAAAGCAAGAAGACCACACATGAGGTTGCTGTGAGTTTTCCGGGCTGTATGGCCATGTTCCTGTAGCTTTCTCTCCTAACATTTTGCCCACATCTATGGCAGGCATCCTCAGAGGTTGTGAGATCTGTTGGAAACTAGGCAAGTGAGGTTTATATATCTGTGGAATTTCCAAGGTGGCAAATTGCAACATTCACACTTGCCTCAAGCAGACAAGAGTTCTTTCTCCCACCCTGGACATTCCACAGATATATAAACTTCACTTGCATAGTTTTCAACAGACCTCACAACAGACCTGACATTGTTGTGGGCAAAACATCAGGAGAGAATGCTTCTGGAACATGGTCATACAGCCTGGAAAACTCACAGCAACCCTATGATTCCGACCATGAAAGCCTTCGACAAAACATTCCACACATGAGGGTTTGTTTCTATGAGAAAATTTTCTTCTTGGTTGACAATATCATATGTTATATTGTCATTCTGGAAAGAGCACTGCATGTGTGAAGAACAAGTGATGTTAATATCATAGTCATCTGAACACTAAATCCTAGAATCAGTGAGTTGGAAGAGACATCAAGAGCCATCCAGTCCAACTCCCTGCCATGCAGGAAAAGCACAATCAAAGCACCCCCCGAGAGATGGCCATCCAGACTCTGTTTAAAGGGCTTCAAGGAAGGAGCTTCCCCCACACTCTGAGGCAAGCGAGTTCCACAGTTGAACAGCTCTTCCAGTCAGGAAGTTCTTCCAAATGTTCAGGTGGAATCTCCTTTCCTGTAATTTGAACCCATCACTGCAAGCCCTAGAGCCCTTCCACACAGCCATATAACCAGAATATCAAGGCAGAAAATCCCACAGTATCTACTTTGAACTGGGTTATCTGTGTCCACACTGCCAGATATTCCAGTTTAATGCAGAAAATGTGGGATTTTATTCAGCTGTATGGAAGGTGCCTCCGAGTCCTAGGGCTTTTCCCACACAGCCATATAACCTGGAATATCAAGGCAGAAAATCCCACAATACCTCCTTTGAACTGATTATCTGAGTCCACACTGACATATATTCCAGTTTATACTAGAAAATGTGGGACTTTATTCAGCTGTGTGGAAGAGGCGGCAGGGCCCACCCACACAGCCCTGTATCCCACAATATCTGCTTTGAACTGGGTTATCTGAGTCCACACTCAGATAATATGGGATTTTCTGCCTTGATATTCTGGGATATAGGGCTGTGTGGAAGGGCCCTCTGTTTCCAGGGCAGCAGAACATGTCTTTTCCACACAGTTAGGACACCATTGTCAGTGCTCCTGGAGTAAATCCAAATTGTATATCAAGACAGAATAATACTCTTTTATTTTATTTTATAAAAAGAGGACTTGCTGAAAAGTTTTATGTATATTGGAACTAATTGGATGAAAAATCTGATGTACTATATTGTGATTTAATTTCAGCGGATGAAGAATTTGATGAGCTGTGCTTTGAATTTGGTTTAGAACTTGATGAGATTGTAAGTAATTGCTTTTATTTTTATATAGGAATATATAAACGAATGCTGTAGTACTTAGGAAACTGCCATGAGAGAGAAAAAATCCAGTGTAAGCTTTTATGGTTTTTAACTTGTTTCACCAGTTGTGAGACCTGTAAAAAAAAAGCCATGTAAACTAAATAAAATTGTACATGGTGCAATCAAATTCCTCTCCCTCTAAAACCATTATTACCCTATCCTGTAAATAGCTTGACCTTATATTAAGTCTCAGAACATTTTATAGTCTGGATGTTTTTCTCAAATTCTCAATACCCTGCAAATAGGATAGCAGGAAGTAAACAATGCACCTTGTTTCTGTAGCATACCTGTAAAATATTATAATAATGTTGATTTACTGAATATATTTTAACTTGTTTATGGTGAATTAGTTGCAATAAGAAGAGTCTCCAAGTTGTGGGATTTTAAAACACTCAGAAACCATTGGCAACCAATCAATTAAGTTCATATTATGTTGTCTGTTCTGTACCCCATCAGGTTGTTGCTACTGAAACTGGTATAACTGGAGCAGTGTTTCTCAAACTCTGTCCAAAACATCTGGAGGAGCACAGTTTGAGAAACTTTGAACTGGAGGAAGTAATTGCTATCATTATGTACTATTAAGTGCATATTGTTAACCATGGCATCAGTTATCTTTAAGGTAGCTTGTAGCAAGAGAAAGGTTTCAGCTTGATGCAAACTAGGATGTTTTTTCTTTATCACAGGCTGAAATCATGTGTGCAGTTATTAGAAAAAACTTGATTGAATTTAGGGGACATATTTTTGCTAGTCATGTTTAGGATATCAAGCATCATGATGATTTGAGCTAATTTGGACTGGGTTGATTCTGATTCGTATACGTTTTTAATTTCTAAAAAGCTATGTTTCAACTATTTCTGTAACTGCTAATCTGTGTATGAGAGCATATTAAACTCATTGTGTTTTCCAATTCACGCACATATAGTGTACAAGGGTTTTGAGATGTATTCCCTGATTTTTTGTGTTCATTTCAGACTTCTGAGAAGGACATAATAAGTAAAGAGAAAGGTGATGGAAAAGCAGAGGGTGCATCAGACGTCATTCTTTATAAAATAGACGTTCCTGCTAATCGCTATGATCTCCTTTGCTTGGAAGGTCTAGTCAGAGGTCTTCAGGTCTTTAAAGAGAGGTAATGTGGTATTTGGAAATACTATTTTTATGCTATTACTAGACTGACCTTCTAGTTGACAATCAGAGGAAGCACTTACATTTGCTTTAACCAGAAAAGCATTTATGCATCTTGGCAGTTGATGCTGAAAGCCAGCAAAGCTTATTTAGAAAGAAGAAACAAAGTATTCTGATGTTAGTTGATTTCTAAAGAGAGAGAGGTAATTATTAGAATTATTTAAAAGCCATTTTGCCATATTTGATTTTGAACTTTCGTGATTTTAAATGAATGTCTTAATAATTAATGTTTCAATTAACTCTTTTAATTGTAATTGTTATTTATAAATGTGTTTGATGGCATCAAGTAGTTGCCTGCGCTCAAGCTGCCCTGAGTCCCCCCTCAGGGTGAGAAGGACGGGATACAAATATGCAAAATAAAAATAAATAAATATTTCAGATTTATTTATTTTGGCCTATTAGTGTTCTGTTAAATATAAGTAGTCTAGACCTTCTCAGACATGCACTGTGAGACTGTGTACTGTCAACAACTGTATTCTGTCAACAACCAATGTTCATTAAGACTTTTTCTTTAGTAATTGTGCATGAAATTTCAATCTTATCAAAATGCTGAATACTGTCTTTGTTCTGCACACTTTGGTGAATATCTAATAGTAAGGTGACAGAACATGGTTTTGTGCCTTAATTCAGGAGGGGATGATCTGATGTATCCATTCTTTTTTATACCTGTAATATCGTCATTTAATGTGAAAGGATAATCTCCATTCTTACTCTTTTAGAATCCGAGCCCCACGATACAAAAAGATTACGCCACCTAGTGGTGAAATTCAAAAACTTATTATTACAGAAGAGGTAAATAAAACTGAATTTTATCTTGAATTGATGTTTTGATCGTATGATCAATAGTAGTCACAATTGCTGCTGTTGAGCAGAAGTAGCTAGCAATGGTGTAGCTGTCCACTTTGATTCCATTATAACTAAATGATACTTTTTTTGTGAATTTAGTCATATTTTTGCAATTGCTCTTGGAACTTCTTTTGGAGGGATGGTTGTGGGGTTATAAGTTCAAAATCACATCTGATTTTAGGAGATAGCCATGCAGCAGCCTATTTGCTGAATGTGATTATGACCATTGAATTATTTGTGTATTCTTTCTTTAATTTTTTTTTAAATGTCAGAAGCAACTTGAGAAACTGCAAGTCGCTTCTGGTGTGAGACAATTGGCTGTCTGCAAGGACGTTGCCCATGGTATGCCCAGATGTTTGATGTTTCACCTTCCTTGTAGGAGGCTTCTCTCATGTCACCACATGGAAAGCTGGAGCTGACAGAGGGAGCTCAACCTGCTCTCCCTGGATTCAAACCACTGACCTCTCAGTCAGCAATCTTGCCAGCACAAGGGTTTAACCCATTGCACCACCCAGTGATTATTTGTTTTCAGTAAAATGATTATTTCAGTATTTTCAATCATTTTGCATGAATATAAAATATTATGCTTCAAAATAATATTTATCATTATTAAAATAAAGGGAATTTTGTATTCTCTCAAAATTGTACCTATGCTTGGTAAAGCATTACTTCTAGTTTGAGATAATAGAATCATAGAGTTGGAAGAGACTATATGGGCCATATGAGATGGCCATTTACAGGCAGTGCTATCTGGCTCATGAATCTCACAGTAGTATTTACAGAACCCATACTGTGGGAGTAAAAGTTCATATATCTTACGAAGCCCATGTTTACTGTATTTAATTGTGTTCCAATTGCCTTGTGGGATGAGAATGTTCTTAGATAGTATTCAGAGCCTGTTGTAATTATGTGTTTTTTAAAAATACCCCCCCCCCCCAATTAATCTAAAAGTATGGGCAAGACAAACATTGGAATCCAAAGAGCTGCTGAAGCAATTGAACTTTCATGTAGTTTTTCTGTAGATTTTAAGATCTGTAAATCTTCAGCTCCTGATGAAATGATTCCTCCTTGTATGATTAATTTTTGTTGGATTGATTAAACTGAATGTTATTAAGGCATCAGTGGTTTGATTGCTTCTTAATGACAATGTATATGTGTATACATTGCATATATATGAATATATTACCAAACTGTCTATAATTGTACCCTTTTGTAATGCAGACGGTCCAAGTCCGCCCTTATGCAGTGGCTGCAGTTCTTCGTAATATAACTTTTGACAAGGTTCGCTATGATAGCTTCATTGACTTACAAGATAAATTACACCAGAATATATGCAGGTTAGTTGGCACTAATGCATTTCATTATGCAATTGGTTGTTTTAATGTGTTTCATAGCAATAATGATTTTGCTTACATTTGAATGAGGTATTTGCCATGTGATTTTAAAGCACATAATCATATTTTGTTACACATTATGTACATTTTCTTGTGTACTCACCTGGAGCAATAAGTAAAATGTAATTTAACCTTTCTGTAAATATTCTGCACCAGCATTTTTCTCAACACATTCTTTAATTAAAACATCCATGTTAATGGAAAAATCTGCATTGCTCATTTGCCTTGCTTTCTTTTTAGGAAAAGATCATTAGTTGCAATCGGTACTCATGATCTAGATACAGTTTGTGGACCCTTCACATACACAGCTAAACCACCATCTGAAATTAAATTCAAACCCTTAAACCAAGACAAGGAATACAGTGCTGTTGAACTCATGGATCTCTACCGGGTAAATGCCTTCAAAAACAATAAGATGTATTTCTGGAAGGATTGCATGTGGTGTTAGAGGTACATTGTTTGAAACCTATAGGTTCTTATTCTTTTAACCCAGTTTGTTGTTGCTTCTCATTTAGCATTCCATAACACATTGAAAACCACTCGCCAGGAACATTCAGTCAGTTTAGTATATGTGTGCATATGTGCACAGCATCCATTCCAGTAAATATATCTAAACCTTTGTGTCTCTCTAGATCTTCAAAGTTTTTTGCAGTAGCAAAATGTCAGCTAAAAACATCATCATGTACTTCAGTTCTAAGACCACTAAATCATATTTTTCACTTTCAGCTTTTTGTCCACTCACCTTTTGTAACTCCATTGCCTCTTTGACATTGCTATCCAAGTATGATGGCCCTCCAAATATTGTGTCCTGGCAGTGGATACCTAGGTTGGTGTAGAGCTCTATTCTTAATCCCCATGTTTTTCCACAGTGAAGGCATCAGTTTACTGGTGGAAGTTGGTCCTGGTCAGGGCTGGCTTGACATGCATTTCTCTTGCATGTTTCTCCCTTTCACCCTCCATTTGAGCCTCTTCAAATTCTGCAGCACTGCTGGTCACAGCTGACCTCCAGTCAGCATGCTCAAAGGCCAGGGCTTTCCAGTTCTTAGTGTCTTTGCCAGTTTTTAAGGTTAGCTTTAAGCCCATCTTTAAATCTCTTTTCTTGTCCACCAACATTCCATTTTCTGTTCTTCAGTTGGGAGTAGAGTAACTGCTTTGGGAGAGGGTGATCAGGCATTCGGACAACGTGGCCAGTCCAGCGAAGTTTGGTAGCAGAGGATCATGGCTTTATAAACAAGCACCTTGGTGGTCTTTGCTTCTTCCAACATGCTAACAGTTGTCTGCCTGTCTTACCAAGAGATTTGTAGGTTTTTTCGGAGGCAACGCTGATGGAATCGTTCTAAGAGTTGACTGTGACATCCGTAGACAGTCCATGTTTCGCAGGCATATAGCAGGGTTGGGAGGACAGTGGCTTTATAAACAAGCACCTTGGTATCTCTATGGATGCCCCAATCCTCAAACACTCTCTGCTTCATTTGGAAAAATACTGCATTTGCAGAGCTCAGACAATGTTATATTTTAGTGTCAATGTTGATTTTTGTGGAGAGGTGGCTGCCAAGGGAGAGGAAATGGTCAACATTTTCTAATGTTACACCATTAAGGATGGCTAGTGTATCATTATAGTATTCTGAAGTGAAATCATAGTACTAAGAATAAAGTTAGTTAATCTGTCTAGTTAATTGAACAACCTTGCATATATTTGGTTTCCTAGTCAAGGTGTTCACAATACAATATCTTTTTTAAACTAGGAATTTAAGCATTATGTTCTTCTTACAGTAATATCTAAAGAAAGAAATGCAATAATTTAATTATGTTTTATTTGTTTTAGACCGACAGCCATCTTAGGCATTATCTGCCTATTATTGAAAATGAACCGCTGTACCCGGTTATCTATGATAGCAATGGTGTTGTCCTGTCAATGCCACCAATAATCAATGGTATGGTTTCTTTTTGCTCCTTTTCTGTTATTTTCTCCTTTTTAATTGTATCCAATAAAATATAAGATTCTATTGCACTATGAATCTCATTATTGTAGTACATGATCAGCAAATACTGTTTTGTTGCTCTCTTAGTCTAATTGTATTTGTTAGCTTAACTGTATGAACCAGAGGTGAGTAACATGTAGCCTGCAGTCTGCATGCAGTCCCCCATGGCTTCCTCAGCAATCCAGACTTTTTTGTGCATGATTCAAGATTTAAAATTCTGGTTTTTAAAATATTATCCCCACCCTAATCCCCCTTGATTTCTAATTCCCTTTCTGGTCTAGAAACTATCCAGGACAGGCAAAATAACATGATAGAATTGCTCCCTTTTGTAACTGGATGTGGGGTGAAGCATAATAGGGTTTGTGCAAAACTATGGCACAATTTGTTATTTGCATTTCAGTCATATGGTAGAGGCAAGTAGACATAGGCAATTTATTTTATCATTTTAAACACATATGTTTCAGGCTGCTTAACAACAGCAATATGGTATTGTATAAATTCTATGAAGTCTAACTGGGTCTAATACAGTGGTTAATATTTTCTCTATATGTGTTCAATTCCCGATCATTCAATTGTTTACCAAACTTTTACCAACTTCCCAAACAGGGATAATACCAACAAAAGCGTATTTTTTTATTTGATATTGTCTGTGCAGATAATCCTGGACTGGGCTTGCTGTTAAGTTTTTGCTCTACTTAGCAGCATCTACATGATACTCAGTTTCTTGAGTCAAACAGCATATTCTAAACATACATTAATACCAATTAGTTCCTGGGATACTGCTGTCTGCATGTCATTTAAAAAGAGACACAATTACTTTGGGTTAAGTCCAGTTGAACATGTATTATTAATTTTACATTATGCTTTGTTGTTTTTACTGCAGGATTTAAAGTTCTGACGTTTTGTGAAAATGTATATATTAAAAAGTGATTAAGATCAGAATCTCTTTAAAATTATTATTATTATTAGTATTGTTATTGTTATGAATTTTCTGTTGAATGTATTGCACTCTTCCCCACTTTCCCAGGGCATCCATCTCAAAAGCTGTATATGTAACCTTACACAGCTGGATTTTCACAGCCTTTTCTTCCTGAGAGCAGCTTACTGTGCTCTCTAGAAACCAAACACTGCAGTGCTTCTGTAGTGGAAAGGGGACGTTTTTCTAATACCCTTTTGCACCATATGAACAGCTGTGCTAAGGCAAGAAGCCCTCCTGGACACCTGCAAGCTCTTGTGCATGGCTAAAAAGCCTATTTGGATCCTAGCCCAGATGCATATTTGTTATATTGTCTCATCAATCTTGCAAGTAACTCTGACTCTTAACACTCAGTGGAAATGCTGCTTAAGCAGTAGAAGGATATATGAAGTGAGACATATTTTAAATAAAAAGCAACATTTTAAAACATTGACAACTTCAGATAATTATATTTGGGTGTTGTTGTTTTTTTTTCTAGGAGATCATAGCAAAATCAGTCTGAACACCAAAAATGTGTTGATCGAATGTACAGCTACAGATTTTACCAAGGTAAATCAACTTGTTAGAGAACCAAAATGTAGAACAAAGGATAGATCTGACTTGCATAATTAAATGGAAATAATGCACTATAGAAACTTGTGTGAATAAATTCCATGCTTTAAACAGAGATGTTTAGTGTGAGTTTGGGATGATATTGTGTAAAAGAAACCTATTTCGAAGCCAGTATTAGAATATTGTTATAATATAGATTTGATGGCCAGTGCTAAACTTTAGCCCCTCCAAGAATTTAAGGTATGCTCCATGATTATATGGGCCATAGTCACTCAGAGCTTTGATCTTCCGACAGCTTTAGTGCACTTGGAGGAGAAAAATCAGTGGGACTTCCTTGGGTGACTTTTTGTGTGCGAAGGTGCTATATCTGATAGTACAATAGTTAGGTATCTTCTTGGGAATGTACATTGTGATTTTATATTTCAAGATGTGTCACATATGTTAATTCAATAAGTGTGTCTGTTGTCTATCTTTAAGGCAAAAATTGTCCTCGATATCCTTGTCGCAATGTTCAGTGAATACTGTCAGAAAACTTTCACGTGAGTTAGTATGAATTACTTTTATTGTTGATATGTACATGCCTTTTGTATTTTGCACTTTCAACAAGTCTGCCTACTTTCATTCTTTTAGTGCTGAAGCAGTTGAAGTACTTTATCCCAATGGAAAAAGTCACATCTTTCCAGTGAGTATAACAGAAGTGACTAAAAACATCACAGGTTAAAAATGTGTTTTTGGGACCCACTTTTAAAAAGGAACAATATTACCATTCTCAGTATATTAAATTGCTAAAACTTGGAGCTGACATCTTTGTCTGAGAAGTTACCACAACTACAAAAGGTGCAACTTGAAAAGCCACCAGTCAAGAGGGCTTCTGTTCTAATAGCCTTTTAGGAAAGGCTAGACCAGTCTATGATACATAAAACCTGTCCAAGCTATCTTCTCTTATCACTAATAACCTGTGTAGTGTCTCGACCAGGTATAGGCAAACTTGGGCCCTCCAGGGGTTTGTGCTTCAACTTGCACAATTGCTAATGGTGGTAGGCTGTTAGGAATTCTGGTTTGAGTATTCTGCTATACTTTGGCAATGGAGATGAGCTTGACTGTAATAAATTGATAATTTAGCAGGGAGGAGCTAAGAGTAACATCTTGATGGCCGAGAGCCTGGGGACATTCTCTGTGTAGTGGCAGTACTACATATGGAGAAAGGAAAAACTTCTTACAAAACTTTGTCCTGTGTCTTTTCATGCAAGATTAATATTGCCTTGCTCTACATATTACATATAAACATATAATTTGGACTCTAGAGACTAAGGGCCTTACCATATCAAAGTTTTATGATTAAATGGTAGAAGTAGGGGTATTTGTGACTTTTTATTTTTTTTCCTATAAAATGTTTTGATGATTGTTATGTTATTTTTACATTATTACACCAGTAAATGCAGAATATGTCTCACAGTCGCTGTTGAAGAATTGTGGAAAAACTCTTGTTTAAAACGTGGCCTATCTCTGGTGTATCTCTTGAGAGCTGAATAATCAAATGTTTTGCTATGGAAACAAATTTTGATACTGAGAGAAAGAGCTAAAGAGATAAATTGATGTACATGAAAACATTTTCCCTTCCTTTTTATGTAGGAGCTTCCCTATCGTCGTGAAAAGATAAAGCCTGAGATAATGAACAAGAAAATAGGAATAAGGTATGTTAAATCTCCCCACTTTCACAGATAATATGAACAGTGTTATTCATAGCGTCTGTGTCACATTTCTAATGCATGCTGTGTTCATTTTTGAGCATATGTTAAAACAAGCATGGACTGATCCTGTGCCAAGCCAAGAGATTTATATTTTATTTACTGTGAGGTTTAACCCACTCCATGGGAAATTCTCTTCAAAAGATAATGGCATAAAATATCAAAAGTACAATAAAATAGTAACGATTTTGCAAAATAAAGTATCAAATAGAATAAAAATGGCAGCAGAGCCGAACAAATCTTTTTCATAATTGACATAATATGTGTTTGGTTAGGAGCCAAGAATATGCATGTAGCATACTATCATGGTGGTGATACAAAAATGCCACAGTGCCAGCTGTTGCTCTAAACAGATTTTGCTCCCATGATTAAGTTATTAGTTTTCATGGCTAGATTTGAACAAAAAGTACAGTAGCTCCAAAGTCATGTTTTATAGTGGTGTTCCACTGAAGTATTTAACTATACTGCCAAGAAAGTTACAACACTGCTGCCAAGAAATCTTTTCGTCTCAATCTCCCAGTCACTCTGACTTAAAGAGCCATAAATTCCCATTCTTTAACACACAGAGGGATCTTGATCTCACCCAGCCATCCTGCATCTCAAAATACTAGTTTGGAGAAGGAAGCTATTCTTCATATTAAAGGTGTTGTTGAGTCCCTTCTCCTGGCGGTGCAAGCCGTTGATCTAAATCCTGAGTGGCCAGTTGTATGGAGCATGAGGGCCAGTTTTGACCTCTGTATTGCTGGACATCAGCATTTGGGAGCGGTTGGAGAGTATAGGAATTGAAACATTAAACTGGAACATTTGCAAGCAGTTTTCTTCCACGGGATAAAATTATCTCAAAATTCTCCCCCAGGTTTGTTTTTATTTTTTTCCTAGGGGTTGTTATGGAAAGACTTCAAGCATACATATTTTGAGCTCTGATTAGTATCTTGTTTTACAGTCTTGTTCTTGGGGCAATATATATTCTGGTGTAGTGATATTCAAGAAGTAGAGCAACTGAACCAGTTATGGAATTTGAGTCGATACATTTGTAAATTCTGTGGATTCAGTGCACCTGCTCTAGTTGAGCTTATCCATAGGACCACGACTTGACCTGATACTTTATATCAGATTTTAGATGTACAGGGCTCAGTCTTTTCTTCCCCAGGGGAATAAAGCATGGTACTATTTGATTTTTAGTTACTGCTGGCTATGTGGTTCTACTATATTCCATAGTGTTTAATGAAAAGGCTATGCCATAGAATCCATTATCAGTTTCCTTCCAGCAAAGAATGGAAATGGAAACATTTGTATATGTCATAAAGTATTATTATCAAATTATAGATACTTGCTAGAATCTTTCCATATCATCTCCTCTCAAACCATCTTCCTGATACTTCTCATTATCTATTATCTCTGTAGCCTCATCTATCTAAAGTTACAATACATTTTTTTTGGACAGAGTATACTTTGTGAGCCCTTCAAAAAATCTCTATTTTTCTCTCTGGTCCCCAGAAAACCTAGTAAATTATTATTAATAATAATAAATAAAACTTTATTTGTATATCGACCTGTCTCCCCAAAGGGACTCGGGGTGGTTTCCAACATATAAGGCAAAACATTCAATTGCCAGGAAAAAAAACCCATACAGACAAATTAAAATAAACATCATAAAACATAAAATCCTGCTAAAACATACACACACAAAAAAATTAAAAACCAATATTATTACAACTCCATCAGATGGATTCTAAATACCAGTGGCCAGGAGTAGAAAATGGACATGGTCTACTATAAAAGAGCTGGGCAAGGGGTAGTGCAGCAGTGTATCTTAAGGCCGGGGAAGCATATAAAGTGCAGAACAGTACTATCTAATGGCCTAGGGACAAATCATTGAAAACCTGCTGGAACAACCTGGTTTTCAGGCCCCTATGGAAGGAGGACAGTGTGGGAGCCTGCCTAATCTCTCTGGAGAGGGAGTTCTCTGGGAAGAGCTTTAACTATGCAAAGACTCTCCTGGCCACCGCTGACACCTGGGCTTCAAGCGATAGTGCTGAGTCCAGGAGAATCCCCAGACTACAGACTTATGTCCTCAGGGGGATTATAACCCTGTCAAGCACAGGTTGCCACCCAATACCCCAATTGGCCTCACAACTGACCAGGAGGACCTCTGTCTTGCCTGGACTAGGATTCAACTTGTTAGCCCTCATCCAGTCCATCACGGCTGTTCAGGATCCAGGAGGTTTCCTTGGAATTCGGTGGAAAGTAGTAGTAGAGTTGAGTGTTATCTGCATATAGATGGCACCGAACTCCAAAACTCCAGATGACTTCACCAAGCGGTTTCATATAGAAGTTAGAAAGCATGGGAGATAGAATGGAACCTTGTGGGACCCCACAGGTCAATGGCCAGGGGTTCAAGCAGGTGTCCCCCATCTTCATCAACTGGGCCCGATCCTCCAGGAAGGAGCAGAGCCTCTGCAAAGCAATGCCCCCCAGGACCCATTCCGGAGAGCCATCCCAAAAGAATACCATGATCAATGGTATCAAAAGTCGCTGAGATGTCCAAGAGAACCAACAAGGTCACACTCACCCATCAAGCTCTCTGTGGAGGTCATCCACCAAGCCAACCAAAGCCATCTCCGTACATTCAGAATGTTATATATGAAACTTTCTTCAGATCATAGTTCCTCAAGCAAACAGCTTTAACAAGATTAAAACCAACCCTTTTTTGAGATCTGGGATATTTTTCTTACTGCAAGCTTTCTCCTATAGTACATTTTAACTTTGAGGAATTCTTGTCATCTGTATATAAAGAGAACATGTTGATTTAAGCAGTAAATTGGGTTAGGATACTTGCTAACGTTTCCCACGTCAATGTTTGAAAAAATATTCTCGTTAAAATTTCTAATGTACTAAATGCATGCCAAGCATCATATGGTTCAAGATTGTCTTTCTAGAGACAACTATTTCATTTCCTAGTTTAGTTTGTGAGTGAATTGCATTTCTTTTAGAGTGACAGTGCTTAATCATTGAATGTGAAGGGCAGTGGTTTCAGAAGAAAACCGTGTGATTTTTTTTCCTTTCAAAATTGCTCTTGCTTTTGTTTTAGTGAGACTCCATCAAGCCTTGCAAAGCTGCTCACCAGGATGTGTTTGAAGTCACACGTCATAGGGAATGGGAACAATATAGAGGTTGAAATCCCTCCTACCAGAGCTGACATTATCCATGCATGTGATATCATAGAAGACGCAGCAATAGCGTATGGCTATAATAACATTCAGATGACTATCCCGAAAACATACACCATAGCTAATCAAGTAAGATTGCACCTTTGAGTAAACAGTCTGTATTGTCAGTTTGAAGGCTAGAAGTATGCCAGAAGGACTGTGAGACACAGTTTTCTAAGAATTAAAACAATATTCTGTCATGTCTTATAGTAAAGGGAGTTTACCATAGCACGGATACAAAACAGATGCCCTATTGATCTGAGAAACTCAAAAGATCTGCACTAGATGGGCTTTAAAATAACAATGAGAAAAGAAACAAGGTTTAAAACCTGGAGGCCATATTAAATCTCTGATTGGGAATTGCATTTCCTCAGTAATGACCAGATGTAGCTGGCTGAAGTTACCTTTTTAGACCAGTTGTTTCCATGATTCTTTTCTAATTCACTGAGCTAAAAGACTTTTTAAAAATGGTTTCTTTCTCTTTCAGTTTCCTCTCAATAAGCTCACAGAACTTCTGAGACAAGACTTGGCAGCAGCAGGCTTTACCGAAGCACTGACTTTTGCTCTGGTGTGTGTAAACTTTTTCTATTAATGGATGTTAAGGCATCAATGGAGGAAGCTGTATTTTACCAGAGTGCAAACTTCAGCAGAGTTGTGGTGACTCCTAGCAGGTTCTGATTTGCTAATGTGTTTGGTTCAGACTTACATGACACATGCTGGTAGTGGAACATAGTAGTTACTTTGGCTCTTGAATTCTAATGATTAGCACGATTGACCATATATTTCCTTTTCTCCCAGTCTATTCAGCAAGCAGAGGAGAGGAACAATATGGATTTTTAGAGCCAGGTAGTTCATGCTAATGGCTTTAGGAGTAAGGTGTTCATTCCATCTTGAGTGCTGGAAAAAACTTTTTTCATAAGAGATTTCTGAATCTACCATCCTTACCTTTTCTGTCAAAAAAGTTATGGCTGAATTGATAGTTCTTGCTTTCATCTCAACAAAAACAATTTTTAGTTTTTTTAAATTTGGAAACCTAAGTTTTAGGCATACAATATCAGAAGAGAAGGTAGTAAGAGGTGAATTATGCCTTTTTGCATGAGGGGATGGATGGTCTTCACCATTTTGAGAAAGACAATTGTAAGTTAACTTCCTAAGAAGCACTTGAACTACGAAGATTGTAATAACAGCTGGCTGATTGCAATCATTACAGTCTAGCGTGAGATCTGGTTTTATCCTGTACACTCTGATGGATAAGACCATTTCTCATGTTCCTTTCCTAGTGTTCTCTCTAAGTTGTCAGACCCAAGGAGTACAGATTCAAGGCGCTGCATTCCAGAAGTTCAGCTCTGGAATTTATGGCTGTTGATGTTGAAGATTCCTTGTTTTTGCTGAATTTTATTGTGGGTCACCTCAGTGTTCCATTTTCTTATTAGGTTTCCATTTTTGAGCATCTAATGAGACAGCTGAAGTCATTGAGGCATGAAATGTAATGCTATAAATATGTTGATGGCACACAACTCTGCTTATTCTCACTGGGAGCACTCAGGCAGCCAGGAAGAGGCTATATAAATTTAAATTGAGTCCAGACAGTTCATCTGACTAGGAAGGTGGCTTCATTGTGTTTGGGATGGGTCTGCACTCCCCTGAAGTCTGGGGATGCTCTTGCATCCAGCAGTGCCCATGGATACCCTATACCTTCAGGGAAAGAGAAAACTGGATCATAGTCACTTATATACTGTTAACCTTTTTTCTGGTGTGCCATATGGAATGTATATTTGTGTTCATCAGATTCAACTCGTATGTCTTCAATTGTAAGACATCATAGATTGTAAGATGCACCCTAATTTCAGTTCAACCACCACCCAACAAAAATACATAAGATACACCTGTGATTCTAAGACATACTCATTGTTTAGGGAAAAAGAGAGTCTTAGAATTGACATAATAATAATAATAATAATAATAATAATAATAATAATAATAATAATAATAATTAAATAATAATAATAATAATTAAATAATAATAATAATAATAATTATTATTATTATTATTTATCCACTGCTCCTTGGGGGTAATAAATATAGTAGCTAGTTTGTATAAAATACTGTTAACAAACTGTGCCTGGTGTTAATGTCCTTATATGTTCCAAATATATTATAAATCAATACATGATTACAAAATGGATGGATTGTTTTGATGTACATATGCTGCAAAAAAGGCATACAATCTTCTTTTTTTGTTCAGTGTATATAATTTGGTAAAGACTGACATATGTCTTCTGCTTAGCTTAACTTTATCTTCTTAGCAATTGAATTTTGTACCATTAGGTGTCATCTTGATTTTTTCCTCCAAACGTGGCACAAACATGTAAAATTTATTTGTAATGCCTTGTACTTATTGTAGGGCTTCAGGTTATACTGGTATTTAACACATTTTGGTGTCAGGATGTTAATAATAATGGTATTATTTAATGGTTGATTGTAAGAAAATGTAATCTACATTGATATTTAGAAAATATATTCACAATACACAGAACATATTGTTCAGTACATATCAATAAAGCACAACCATACAGGGTTGGATAAAATCTTGTACTATGGCACCCAGGCTAAAACATTGGAGGAGGTACGGTCCTGGAGTTTTTTCTTAAAGTTACTTTTATACTGGTGGTATAATTATTATTAATGAATTTAATTAATTGTTTTTTTCCTCATCCTAATTAATGTTAGTGTTCCCAGGAAGACATTGCTAATAAATTGGGAGTTGACATCTCAGCAACAAAAGCTGTACATATAGCAAATCCCAAAACAGCAGAATTTCAGGTAAGAATGGTGGATTGATTTAGTTTAACATGTACCAACTATATTTTTACCTGAAAATTTAAATTAACTATAAAATTAGAAAAAAAATCTTAATTTATGATGGCATTTAAGTGTGATGAGGTATGAATCACATTAATATCCTAACCTATGGGACTAGTTTGCTGAAGAGACTTGGCACTCAGCAGATATCTTTCTTTGTTCCCTTCTACACTGCCATATAATGCATTTTATCAGTGTAAACTCATATAATTCAGTTTAACTACATTGAGCTGCTTTATTTGAGTCTTCACCGCACCTGAGCGGGAAAAGGAAGGGGCCTGAGACTGTTAGGAATTGTGGGAGCTGAAGTCCAAAACTCCTGGGGGGCCAGAGTTTGTCCATGCCTGGTCTACATTGACCATATACTGCAGGTTCAAACTGCAGTATGTCTCATTGTAGATGGGGCCATTGAAGGCCTCTCCAGTGGAGACGGTCTCTCTGGGGTTGGCTGCAGAGGTTTAGTCCATTTCAGCAGCTTCAGTCCTCCCACTGGGAACTCTGCAGGCAGAAATCTCTGCAGGTAGTAACAGGAGTGAGTCTCACAAATGCAGCGTTGCCAAGGCAGGGCAGTATTGCCTCTGCATCCACTGTATCGAAAGCTTCATCTTCCCAGTTACTCACTCAGCTAATCTAGTCCAAAGGAAGCATGGTGAAATTTGCCTCCATCACTTGCAATAAGAGATGTTCCAAAAATGATAATCTGCCACATTGGGAAAGGAAAAGACCAGATATACATATAGTGAACCCTCTAGATCAGGTATGGGAAAACTTTGGCCTTCCAGTTGTTTTGGACTTCAACTCTCACAATTCCTAACAGCCGGTCCAAAACACCCAGAGGACTAAAGTTTGACCATGGGTTCCAGATCCACAATTTCAAGTCATGCCCCATATTAGTAAACAGGCAAGGGTTTTTTTTAATAACATGGGACATTACTGCCTGTTTTTTTTTAAATATGTCCACAGGGACTTGGTCCTGGCACCAAATCCCTGTGGATATGATGGGCCCTCTGGACACACACGTATTTCTTGGGTGGCATGAATTGGCAGGATTAAGTGGCAGAGTTGCTGTGCTACTCTACACTCACCCTCCCGACTTTGGATTGTTTGGTTGGCTATTAATGTAAAAGTCACTCAAATGGCTGGTCTTATCATTTTTAAATATTTGTTGTTTTAGTGTTAGTATTTGGGCCAGTTGGAGAATCTTTTATGATACCTCCCATCGTTGTTCTATATTCCAGTTATTTATTTTTATTTATTGTATCAGAAGCGAATTGAGGGTATGGTTATTATGTTCCAGTTAATTTTATTGAACATTTTGCTAGCATAAGATTTCAAAACAATTTATACAGAATACTTTTCCAATCCAATGCTGCAAATTTTTGACATTGCTGGCAGACTTGTAACCTCTGAGAAATCAATGATAAATTATCATATTTCTAGACTGTTCCTATCGTACTCTTGCCTGTGTTGATATAGTCTGCTTTTAGTGGGAAATGTCTTTGGATGTATATATAGAGTTCCCTTTGTGACCTGCAGGTGGCACGCACTACCCTCTTGCCTGGGCTCCTGAAAACTGTGGCGGCTAATCGGAAGATGCCTTTACCACTGAAACTCTTTGAAATTTCTGACATTGTAGTGAAAGATTCCACCAAGGGTAAGAGGATTTCAGCACTGTCTTAAAACATCAGCAGTATCAGATTCCACCATGGGTATAGCGCACACCTGTGGGGATTTCCTGTAGGATTGATAGAGACTCCTTTTTCTTCTGCCTATGTTCACTCGTGGAGCAATTCAGAAATCTTTGTATGTCTTCTATATCCTGATTCAGCCCTATAAACTTTTGTTCAACTTACAAGCACAATACACTCAAGCTATGTATCAGTGTAGGAGGAGAAGAGGTCTTCTCAGTGCCTGGAAATAGTCTGCTAGAGGACACTAGGCTTTATATTACATTGGATTGGATTGGCAGGGTTTTGAGACATTCATGGTGGGTGCCTGGTGTTGAATCCTCTCTTCTCAAACTCTGTGCCTTCATCTAAACACCAACAGTGTTTTTGTGGGGAAAGCAGTTAGGGAGAAAGGCTTCGGGGAGAGATGCTAAATTTAGCAAGGCAACTCTTCATTTTTATGTATTTCTTGTTACATGAAATGATTGCTTTATGCAATAGATAAATGTTATTAAGGTTAGTGACACAGGCAGGGTTTTTTTCCGTGTCAGGAGCGACTTGAAAAACTGCAAGTCGCTTCTGGTGTGAGAGAACTGGCTGTCAAGGATGTTGCTCACGGGACGCCTGGGTGTTTGTTTTACCATCCTTGTGGGAGGCTTTTCTCATGTCCTCGCATGGGAGCTGGAGTTGACTGAGAGAGCTCACCCCGCATCCCCGGATTTATACTGCTGACCTGTTGATCAGTGGTCCTGCCAGCACAAGGGTTTAACCCATTGCGCTACAGGAACTCTTGACACAGGCAGTAATAATTTATGAAAGATAAACTCTTTCAATCCAGGTGCCTTGTGCTTTGTTCTTTGCTAGAGGGCAGCATATACCAGTCTGGTTTTTACTGCCTTTTCTTGGGTTATGTAAAGCCAGTTATCAGTCCTTAAAATTGCATTTAACAGTATCTTCAGACAGCACTTTGAAGTCTCTGCAGTCCATGTGTAATTTATGCTAACAAACATGGCAGTTCTCTGCTTTGAAAAACAGAACAGAAATATTTTATGGAGTGATGCAACAGGTTTCTCACTAATCTGGAAAAGGTGAGATTTGTCCCTAAAAGTTTAGCTCAGCGTTGGCAGCAGTTTTTCTGTGTGATCTCTGTAGTGAATGAACTTCATGATCAAGTGCAGTATTTAAAATTTGTATGTTGGGCTTGTGAAGAAGAGGCTACTAGAGGGGTTAGTTTAAGGCCTAGACTTTGGAGTACATCTATGACTGGTCAATGCAGGTCTCTAGAAGAATTCTATGCTAGAATCCTTAAAAAAAAAAACGAGTCAGGCAAGATATTTAATTGTGAGCTGCTGTGAATTGTCTGAAGAATTCTTTAAAATTTTCAGTAAAATTTCTACATTGCCTATTTTCCTTTACGCCTACAGACTCACCAAAATATATATGAAAATAAACGCTGATAGTAAACAGTACTTAAAGCTTGAAATGCCTTTAAATCTAGTCTTTATGAAGTTATTAATTTGGTTTTTCTTTTTCTTCAGATGTTGGCGCAAAAAACCACAGGCATCTCTGTGCCATCTACTATAACAAAAACCCTGGTTTTGAAGTAATTCATGGGTTGCTGGATAGAATTATGCAGCTCCTGGATGTCCCACCAAGCAAAGAGAATGGATATTATATAAAAGCAAGTGAAGGTAACAAAGACTTAGAAGATGCATATGCCCTTATTTGTGTTAAGTAAATGCAAGCACATCCCTTAAAATTAAGTGGATAGGGCAATGCCTGACTATTTCTTGGATAATGATGTTTGTCTTTAGGTTTGCAATTGCATCACTTTCAACAGATTCACTGGTTGTTCCTGTTACTCCTCATAGTACAGAATATCCCAGACTCCTGTATCTTTTGCTATTAATCCTAGTTTCCCTAATACAGTCTTTAGCCTTGATTTATAAAGGTGAATGCATGAGAATTAGTTTGCCACATGCAAAAGCAATTACTTGGAGATACTCGTTTGCATCCTTAAAAACACATGTGGAAGGAATGTCACACTGGAGGACATTTTATTCATGCCAGCCCTGTTTATCTGCTACAGTCTTTCTTCATGAATTATAGACATTGTTCCTAAGCAGTCAGGAAGGTGTGCACTTGGTTACTGTGAGATAATCAAATGGTTTAGAATAACACAGAGTTACCTTGTATAGAATCATAGAATCATAGAATCAAAGAGTTGGAAGAGACCTCATGGGCCATCCAGTCCAACCCCCTGCCAAGAAGCAGGAATATTGCATTCAAATCACCCCTGACAGATGGCCATCCAGCCTCTGCGTTAAAAGCTTCCAAAGAAGGAGCCTCCACCACACTCCGGGGCAGAGAGTTCCACTGCTGAACGGCTCTCATGGTCAGGAAGTTCTTCCTAATGTTCAGATGGAATCTCCTCTCTTGTAGTTTGAAGCCATTGTTCCGCGTCCTAGTCTCCAAGGAAGCAGAAAACAAGCTTGCTCCCTCCTCCCTGTGGCTTCCTCTCACATATTTATACATGGCTATCATATCTCCTCTCAGCCTTCTCTTCTTCAGGCTAAACATGCCCAGCTCCTTAAGCCGCTCCTCATAGGGCTTGTTTTCCAGACCCTTGATCATTTGAGTCGCCCTCCTCTGAACACATTCCAGCTTGTCAATATCTCTCTTGAATTGTGGTGCCCAGAATTGGACACTTTATTCCAGGTGTGGTCTAACCAAAGCGGAATAGAAAGGTAGCAGCTTCTTTGTTCTTGCAGTGTAAGGTCCATAACAATGTGCCATTCTGTTGATGGAAGAGACCTAACAACACAAATACCTTATCTCTTTTGTAATAAGAGTTTATGTTCTATTGGTTCTAGAATTTTTGTGGTAGCATCTTAGTTGTTACTTTGTACCATGTGGCTGGAGTTTAAGATGCTTCATGTGAAGCCACGCAGTGGTTCTCAACCTGTTGGTCCCCAGGTGTTTTGGCCTACAACTCCCAGAAATCCCAGCCTGTTTACCAGCTGTTAGGATTTCTGGGAGTTGAAGGCCAAAACATCTGGGGATCCACAGGTTGAGAACCACTGCACCAGAGTGTTGGTATGGTATGCTAGTTTGGGTGCAGGACTAGGACTCTTAAGAGACTAGGGTTCAAATCCCTACTTGGACCTGGGCAAAGCTAACTCACTCATCCTAAGAGGAAGGCAATGGCAACTGTCCTCTGACTAAAACCTTACCAAGATAAACCCCTATGATAGAGTCAACTTGATTGCACATCGTATCTACCACAATTAGATCAAAAAGCCTGAGTACAAGGGTCATTAATACAACTTCTTTGAGAATTTATTCTTTTTTTTAAAAAAGGGCTAAAGAATGGGTTGCTTTAAGTTTTCTGGGCTGTATGGCCATGTTCCAGAAGCATTCTTTCCTGATGTTTCGCTCACATCTATGTCAGGCATCCTTAGAGCTTAAGGGGTCTATTGGAAACTAGGCAAGTAAGGTTTATGTATCTGTGGAATGTCCAGGGTGGGTAAAATAATTTTTGTCTGTTTGAGGCAAGTGTGAATCTTGCAATTGGCCACCTTGATTAGCATTGAATGGCCTTGCAGCTTCAAAGCCTGGCTGCTTCCTGTCTGAGGGAATCCTTTGTTGGAAGGTGTTAGCTGGTCTTGATTGTTTCCTGTCTGGAATTCCCCTGTTTTTTTAGTGTTGCTCTTTCTTTACTGTCCTGTTTTTATAGTTTTTTAATTCTGGTGGCCAGATTTGGTTCATTTTCATGGTTTCCTCCTTTCTGTTGAAATTGTCCAAATGCTTGTGGATTTCAATGGCTTCTCTGTGTAGCCTGACATGGTGGTTGTTAGAGTGGTCCAGCATTTCTGTGTTCTTAAATAACATGCTGTGCCCAGGTTGGTTCATCAGGTTTTCTGCGATGGCTGACTTCTTAGGTTGAATTAGTCTGCAGTGCCTTTGGGCACTGCGTTTGGTGATACCTATGTTGACTTGTCCACATGTGCGTGGTGTACAGTAAACACTTAGCTGCATGGTTGTCAAGCAAGCTTTAAAACTGTGCTATAAATCAAGTCTAAGGATGTATATTTCTATGTTTCCTTATTGTTCAGCCAATGTATTTATTGCCAGTATCTGCATCAAATTACGTACTGACTTCAGTTTGATAAGCTTTGAGTCAACGACTGTACATTTTAAATATAAAATGCTTGCTGAGATCTCTCTAATGATCTGAGTAATTTCCCAATTTAGCTGGAGAAATAAGGTGTTCCTTTGCTTTATGCTCATTCTTGTTCCATATGTTCCAAGCATACATGCTAGATTACAATCTGTTCCACTAATGCCTAAATATCCATTAAGTTAATCTTTAGGTCATAAACTTTAGGGACTTGTAGCAACACCTGTGCAAGAATTGCAGATGCTTGAAGGTATGGGTGAAATTCTGATGTTCCCCAGGCTTTCACACTAGTGTTTAGTGTAATTGGAGTCAAGCAATGTACTGATGGTAAAATTTAGCCTCAAGTGAGCAAGCATGTTAAAGTTGAACCCTTGCACGTTTCTGGGAGCATTTTGGGACAATTCGAAATGTTTACCATTTGAAATTTATTGGATTCATATAGATCTTTCTCCAATATTTATTTATTTATTACATTTATACCCTACCCTCTCTCACCCCGAAGGGGACTCAGAGCAGTTTACAAGTTATATGTACATGCAATATATTATATTATTAGCATAGCACAATATTAGCATTATATATTACTAAATTGTACTATGCCACTATACTGTAATATTATTAGTAATATTACAAGTAATATTTAATATATAATTAATATTATTACATATTGTATTATTAGTAGTATTATTTATTTATTTATTTATTAAAATAAATAATACTACTAATAATACAATATATGTAATAATATTAATTATATATTATATATTACTTGTAATATTACTAATAATATTACAGTATAGTGGCATAGTATTATTATTATTATAGTGGCATAGTAGTATTATTTTGTATTACATTATAATATCAGCATATTATAGTATTAGCATAGTACAATATTAGCATTATATATTATATTGTACTATACCACTATACTGTAATATTATTACGAATTTTACATGTAATATATATAATTAATATTATTTTATTGTATTATTATTAGCATTATTGTGTATTACATTATAATATTATTCCAAACTTTCTAAACTTTCAGTCTAATGTTGGGTCCAGATGAATTAGTGACATTCTAGTCTCACTGGAATCAGTGGCAAAATTTAATTCAAGTGGGACTAGATATGTCTAACTTATTCTGGAATCCAACTGATGTGGTTAAATTGTCCTTCACCTTCTACAATTTTTCTTTTTCTTTTCTCATGAAATTAAAACTTTGTATTGAGATAATTCCCAGATCATTTTTATTCCGTGTCATTTAGAACCTCTCTCATATGTTATCTTGAAATTCAGTATTCATTACTGGGATCAAATGTAAATGTTCAGAGGCACAACAATATGATAGCTGCCAATGACAGGTCATTTACCAGGCTTGTCCCCTTCTGGCTGTTGCATGTGCAATTCTTCCCAGTGTCTAGGTCAAAAAGACAGAAAGTATGTGGTGCTACTTTTTTTTTTACTTAAACATTCCATTTGCTCCTGTTCAACTTTTTCTTTTGTTTTTTAGCTTAGTTTAGGCATGAAATCCACAAATAGTGTTAATCATGGGCTGTAAATAACATTATTAAGATTTGGGGAAGTCCTAGAGGGCCTAGACACACAGTGGTTACCCCCCCCCCCCCCAACCACCACCCCGGATTTTATGCATCCTACAGTTTGCATGATTTCTGTCCTGGTTTAGTGTTACATGCATTAATAGCAATGAGCCTTGGGCTCATGCACTCCAACCTTCCTCTTTTCCTCTGGGACAGTTGTGAAGAAACAATTGAAAGTATCTGCTTCTACCTCTAATTGAGAGTTTGCACTTTTATGTGAACCCTGACTATTTTATTTAAGCAAGCTAGAAGTAACTCATTTTATGTTCTTGGTTTGTTTCCATATTTAAATTCACAAGCGTTCCTCTGTGAATTTAGTCCTTAAAAGATACATGTCCAGTATGTTTTGAATTCATATTTACACTATTATGGTCATGCCCAATGTGCTTAAAGAAAACAAGTAGACTTTTCTTCTTTTCTAGTTTAAGGTAACCTACCCTATTTTTTATGTTTCCTATTTTCATGTTTAAAATACAGTACAATTGCATTTATTGACTCAGAAGTAATATTCCTTTATTTTTTTTATTAGATTTCCCCCCTCCAGTTCTCAAAAACTATTACCTGTTTATAATAGGAAGCTGGAGCCCCTGGTGGCTCAGCGGGTTAAACCATTGAGCTGCTGAACTTGCTGACCGAAAGATTGGTGGTTTGAATCCAGGGAGCGGGGTGAGCTCCCGCTGTTAGCCCCAGCTTCTTCCAACCTATCAGTTCGAAAACATGCAAATGTGAATAGATCAATAGGTACCATTTCTGCGGGAAGGTCACAGCACTCCATGCAGCCATGTTGGCCACATGACCTTGGAGGCATCTACGGACAATGCCTACTCTTCGACTTAGAAATGGAGATGAGCACCACCCCACAGAGCTGGACATGACTGCCCGAATATTTTGTGTGCACAAATCAATTTTT